CAAATCCTGTCTCTTGCTTGCAAGGTCTATTTCTCTAGCTAATGTTACATGTATTATCGATTGGCATTTTTCCATCCAGTTCTATGTCTTTGAATGAATCCTCTCAGTCAAGCCCCCATAGGCCGTGATGATTGATTCCTGGCTAAGCAGATTTGAGGTTTTTGCCTTTTCCACATGACAGGTGGATCAAGTTGTGGCGAAGTTCTTCATTTTCAGATGTAGGTTGGCATTTTTCCATTCATTTTTGCATAAATCCTTTCAGTCAAGCTCCCATAGGCCTTGGTGGAAGATGCCTGGTGTGAGGTCTATCATGTGCAATCTTATTCCTCTTTATGAAATAAATTTTTCCATCCAGTTCTGTGTCTTTGCATAAACTCTCAGTCAAGCCCCCATAGGCCGTGATGATTGATGCAGTCTAAGCATTTGAGGTTTTTGCCTTTTCCACATGACAGCTGGATCAAGTTGTCGCCAAGTTCTTCATTTTCAGATGTAGGTTGGCATTTTTCCATTCATTTTTGCATAACTCCTTTCAGTCAAGCTCCCATAGGCCTTGGTGGATAATGCCTGGTAAAATAGATTTTTGGTTTCTGCCATGTAAAAAAAAACATCACAACGTACAAAATAGTTCTTTTTTACCATGTTTAAGCAGGGGCGAGGCAAGGCATGTTCGTAGTTCTGTTTTTTTTTTCTTTTGTATTCAGTCGGACAATGTCAGAAGTCATCAAAGGATTCTTTGTTTTCACAGAGGCATGGATATTTCAGAGCCTTGTTTCAGTGTTTCAAGCTTAAGAACACTTCCATCACTAATCCTCATCGTGCCTTGGTACAGAAGAGATTAGGACTTTGCAAGTTTCTTTTATCATTTGAGTTAGCATTTCAACAGTAAAAATCTTGAGAGTAAGTGTGTGGGTGTGGGCACAGTAATCCGCAGCAAAGTTTCATTTCATTTCTTCTTTTTTTTTGTCTTAGCTAAAAGGTATTCATCAAAAAGGCAGAAGAAGGGACAAAAAGGTTGGGTTTTAAGGAACATATAAAGGCCGGATTTGAGCACCCACTGACGTGCAACATGTGATGGTACTTTCATTGTGAAGTAGTCTCGACGGCCCAAACTCTAACACCATACACCTGACTGCAGTTGAGGATGTGGTGGTGCACAGACAGAGTCGTGTACATCTGCAAGACCAAACCGATCTGGGCTTTTTTAGCGGTCCATGAGAAGCAACGAAGCCTGTTGAAAAGGAACATTTCTGAAACAGGTTAGCTGTACTACATGTGAATTCGAGGGGATTCATTCCTCAGCTAACCGACATCTTGCACACGCAGTAGTCCCTCAGTAAGACATCTGGAGCCGCATAGTTCCCGTTTAGAACTTTTATTCAGCATGTCACACGACCGGTTTCGCCTGTGTGGCTTCTTCAAGTGTACAGAGGCTAAATGACACAAGTAACACGAAGTTCTCACTTATATACCTTTCCAGTGCATAGTGCCCTGCTCAGTAACATGAGTTCGTAGTGCTCTGATCTAGTCAGTACATGCAGTTCGAGGTGCTCTGACCTTAGTTGACCTTTAGGTTAGCTGTATTACATTTAGAAAATGTTCAGCTTCAGCAACCTGAAGAGACTTCTGGTTCTTCTGCTGATGGTTATGAAGGGAAGTGAAGCAGCCACGACGTGTGCCACGTATGAAAACTATTGTCGTGATTGCAGTGACAGTGGCCTCAGGAGTGTTCCACAAGATTTGCCCTCAACTATCAAACGTCTTTATCTAAACAAAAACGCCATCGTATCCTTGAGGCAGTCTGACTTCTCAAGGTATAAGCAGTTAGAATGGATTGACTTAGATGACAATGATATAACCGTCATTCAGAATGGCACATTCACGAACCTTCCGCAGCTTGCTACTTTGAGCCTTAATTATAACGCAATAACTGATATTAAACGTGTTGCATCTTCAAATCTGCCACAGCTTTAAAAATATGTACCTGGCTGAAAATGGAATAGCAAACATTCAACGTGATTCATTTTTAAACTTACCTCGGCTTTCAATTTTGTTCCTACAATATAACGAGATAACTATTATTAAACATGGTACATTTTCAAATCTACGCCAGCTTGAATGGTTGTACCTGTTCAAGAACAAGATATCTAACATTCAACGTGGTCTTTTCTAAAGCTACCTAAGCTTTCCGAGGTGTACCTAGCCTATAACCAGATAAATCATATTGAACCTGGTACATTTTCAAACTTACTAAATCTACGACTTTTGAATCTGGAAAACAACAAAATCAGTATCGTTCAGAATGGAACATTTTCAAACCTGCCGAAACTCGCGACACTGTTGCTAAGCAACAATCAAATCACGGTTCTGTCAGAATATACTGATGAGCTGATGTCGATTGCAAATGTATACCTTAAGAACAACCCATGGCAGTGTGACTGTAGGATGGTTTCCTTCAGACAAAAGATGGTTGGGAAACGGTTTGAGGATCACATCATATGTGAAGAGCCCAGTCGTTTGTTTGGGCAAAAGCTTAAAGATATCGAACCTGATGATCTGATCTGTGACGAACCACAAATAGTAACGTTTAAGATGATAAATGGAAACAGGCCAGTGTTAGAGGGGGAGACAGTCATTCTAAACTGTGACGTGTCGGGAATTCCAACCCCAGACATCACAGTCACTCTCCCTTCTGGCAGGAATGCAACTGTTGAGTCAGGTGGGAGAGTGACTGTGGAGGCGAACGGTATCATCACCATAGAGAACATTACCGCTACAGAGTCTGGTCTGTACGTCTGTTTGGCAGCGAGTCCTGGTGGCTCCACGTCTGCCAACCTGTCTATTTATGTACAAGGATCATCATCTGTAAGCCCCACGTCTATTTACGTACAGGGACCATCATCTGTAAGCCCCACGTCTATTCACGTACAAGGGCCATCATCTGTAAGCCCCTCAATATCCTTTGGATTTGTATGTGGCAAATATGATGACAAAACACTATTCTATCTTTATGGTGGTATTGCTGCTGCTGTGGCATTCCTTACATGTTATATTGTGATTGTAATGTACCATAAGCGACGTATCAAGAAGCAGCGTCCTTTGGCATCAGTATCCTCTGCAATTTTTAACAATGTAGGAACAGTTGTGACATTGCCCAATAGCAGCTATGGGTTAGAGGGGCAGGGGGTACATTTCAGCACAGGGACATCCCGACTGGGATATAGAATTGCAAAAAGCAGTGAAAATCTAGATGGTCAGGGTATTTCCTCGACCCAAGGGACAGTGGCTTTGTCTGGGGAAAACATTTATGAAATTGATGACGAGGCAGGTTTAACTGTTGATTCCGTATATGAAAATGACAATGAAGTAGAGCAAGGTGGTCATGAATCTGTACATTTGTATGGAAATGAAGATGAGCCAGTTGCTACTGTATCTGGTTTACAAGCTAATATGTATGAAAACGACAATGAAGTAGAGCAAGGTGGTACTGCACCTGTAAATGTGTATGAAAACGAGAATGAAGTAGAGGAAGGTGGTACCGCACCTGTAAATGTGTATGAAAACGACAATGAAGTAGAGGAAGGTGGTACTACACCTGTAAATGTGTATGAAAATGACAATGAAGTAGTGTCACCCGATCCCGTATCTGAACTGCATGGATACGTGTATGAAAATGATGATGAGGATGTAGCATCTATTCACTCTGTAGCTGTACACCAATCATACGTGTATGAAAACGATGACGACGTATTTCTTGAGTCTATAGTTCCAGAGCAAACCGATGTATATAAAAATCGTAATGAGGAATTAGCATCTACATTTGTGCTTGAGAATGAGCGTGGCAAAATGATGTGTAATGATCTTGAAGAGGGGACTGACGTTGATGAGTATGACAGTGACGATGAGAAACCAAAATTTGCTTCTTCTAAGTCTGTTTATGAGAATGAAAATAGGAAAGTAGCCTCTGATGCTGTCCGGCTTCTGTATAAGAAAAACAAATCTGTAGAAAATACTTCTCAGTTAATCTATGGGAAAGACAAGGACGAAACAGCTACAGCTACTAACCATTATGGAGCCACTAACGTGGATGTGGACAACGACTAAATATGAAAAACTGTACAGCTGAAGAAATACATTACCAATACTTAATAAGTGTTTTTAATGAAATATATCATTCTTCGTAATAACATGTCTGAAAGACGAAAACGTACATTAACCACAGTTCAGTTTATGTTAGTCTTCTGTTAATTCTGTTGTATTATTTTATTATATTCCGTTGCTATATTTTGAATTTTTTAAATGGACTCTAGGAAAAATATTGGATGTATTCACTAATGGAGATTTGAATAAACCCAACCAAACCAAACATATCGATGTTAAACTCACATCTGTGTGTGTATGTGGGTGTTGGCACAATCCTCCGCCATATTTAATCTGTCTACCTCCTCAGCTACTTGGACACATCAAGACGATAGCAAAGATTTGTTTTATGTCATTTTGATCTAATCGTGAACGCAACTTCAAAATATTAAAGTCTAAAATCTAAGAAAGGCATGGCTTTAAGGGGCATAAAACCGGATTTAATCCTTCATTGATGTAAAGGTTAGGTGGTACTTCTCCTGTTAACTAGTCTAGGCAGCCCATTCTCTTATTTCATTTACCTTCCAGTACAGTTGATAATGCAGTGCACACATATGTACCTTAGCTGGCACTAGATAACATTAGACTCAAATATATGTCCTTTCTCTAAACAAGAAGCCAATTCAAAAACATTCTCCCATCCAGCCACAACTTACACACACTCCAAGCAGAGGTTTGGGTTTTGGGGGTATTTTTAGGCTTTTTTATCGGGGTTTCTCTTTTGCACTGATTTTTTCCCCACCAAACCCAACCCCGATAAAAAAGCCTAAAAACACGCTAAAATACCCCAAAAACCCAAACCTCTGCTTGAAGAGTACAACTTACACACACTGAGTGGAGTCATAAAACACAAAGAGAAAAAAAGCCTCCTTGCAAGATCTGCATTTTATTTCACAACATATATAATCCGGATGATCATGATGATGATGATATATGATCAGCATGCTCAATACTTAGATAAAGATATACACATTGCTAAATATCGTTATTAAAAGTGGGTTTGTTTTTTTAAACCTCAGAAGAAAGTTAAGAACATATGTAACTTTACATAGGTTACGAACATAAGTAAATGACATATAGAATGAAAGGTAATATATACATCATACGTAAAGACCATATAGAACCTCCTACACTTTTACCTTGATGTAAAAGGTTAGACATCTAGTAAACACACAATAAAAACTGCGCTACTGAATGAACATGAAAATAAATTTGGGGAAATTCGAGTAAAATTCACCACTCTTCTTTAGTGCGACTAAAATGAGATTTAAAAAAAACATGACTCCAGTAAGTCTAATGTAAAATGTAAAAAATCAAATCAACATTGATGAGAGCCAGTTCCATGGATATTTATAGACACTAAGAGCCTTGACATTTTCTATTCTCGGAATTGTACCACCATGACTTAGTCAATTCGTTTACTAGTATTATCGTGAATAGTGCATTTCGTCAAAGGAGTATTTTTGGTGCATTATTTAGCTGTACAAATTTATGTTTGTTTAGGTTCTGTACAGTTTTCATATTTAGTTCTTGTCTATATCCACATTAGTGGCTTCATAAAGGTTAGCAGCTGTAGCTGTTTCGTCCTTTTCTTTCCCATAGATTAACTGGGAAGTACCCTCTACAGATTTGTTATTCTTATACAGAAGCCGGACAGCATCAGAGGCTACTTTCCTATTTTCATTCTCATAAACAGACTTAGAAGAAGCAAATTTTGGTTTCTCATCGTCACTGTCATACTCATCAACGTCAGTCCCCTCTTCAACATCATTAGACATCATTTTGCCACGGTCATTCTCAAGCACAAATGTAAATGCTAATTCCTCATTACGATTTTTATATACATCGGTTTGCTCTTGAACTACAGACTCAATAAATACGTCATCATCATTTTCATACACGTATGAATGTTGCACAGCTACAGAGTGAATAGATGCTACGTCCTCATCATCATTTTCATACTCGTTTCCGTACAGTTCAGATACGGGATCGGATGACACAGTACCACCTTCCTCTACTTCATTGTCATTTTCATACACATTTACAGGTGCAGTACCACCTTCCTCTACTTCATTGTCATTTTCATACACATTTACAGGTACAGTACCACCTTCCTCTACTTCATTGTCATTCTCATACACATTTACAGGTACAGTACCACCTTCCTCTACTTCATTATCATTTTCATACACATTTACAGGTGCAGTACCACCTTGCTCTACTTCATTGTCGTTTTTATACATATTCATTTGTAAACCAGATACAGCAGCAACTGGCTCATCCTCATTGTCATTTTCATATGGGTTTATGTGTGAGCCAAATGCGGAAGCGATTGGCGATGCCAATTCATTATCATTTTCATACCCATTTATGTGTAACCCAGTTGTAAGAGCAACTGGCGCATCTTCATTGTAATTTTCATACAAATGTACAGGCACAGTACCACCTTGCTCTACTTCATTGTCATTTTCATATATGGAGTGAACAGTTAAATCTGCCTCGTCATCATTTTCATAAATTTTCCCCCCAGACAAAGCTACTGTCCCTTGGGTCGAGGACATACCCTGACCACCTAGATTTCTGGTACTTGTTGCAATTCTAGCTGCCATTCCGGATCCGGATGTCCCTGTTCTGTAATGTACCCCCTTTGCCCCTAAGTTATAGTTACTATTGGGTATTGTCACAACTGTTCCTACATTGTAAAAAATGGCAGAGGAAACTGATGCCAAAGGACGCTGCTTCTTGATACGTCGCTTATAGCACATTACAATCACAACATAACATGTCAGGAATGCCACAGCAGCAGCAATACCACCATAAAAGGTAGAAGAGTGTTTTGTCATCACATTTGCCACGTACAAATCTAAAGGACTTTGAGGGCTTACAGGTGATGGTTCTTGTACGTGGATTGACGTGGGGCTTACAGATGATGGTCCTTGTACGTAAATAGACGTGGGGCTTACAGATGATGGCCTTTGTACGTGACTTGACGTGGGGCTTACAGATGATGATCCCTGTACGTAAATAGACAGGTTGGCAGACGTGGAGCCACCAGAACTCACTGCCAAACAGACGTACTGACCAGAATCTGTAGCGGTAATGTTCTCTATGGTGATGATACCGTTCGCCTCCACAGTCACTCTTCCACCTGACTCAACAGTTGCATTTACGCCAGAAGGGAGAGTGACTGTGATGTTTGGGGTTGGAATTCCCGACACGTCACAGTTTAGAATGACTGTCTCCCCCTCTAACACTGGCCTGTTTCCATTTATCATCTTAAACGTTACTATTTGTGGTTCTTCACAGATCAGATCATCGGGGTTAATATCTTTAAGCTTTTGCCCTAAGAAGCGACTGGGCTCTTTACATATGATGTTATCCACAAACCATTTCCCAACCATCTTTTGTCTAAAGGGAAGCATTCTACAGTCACACTGCCATGGGTTGTTCTGAAGGTGTACATTTGCAATCGACATCAGCTCATTATATTCTGGAAGAGCTGTGATGTAATTGTTTTCAAGTGACAGTCTCTCGAGTTTGGGGAGATTCGAAAATGTTCCAACCTGAACTATACTGATTTTGTTGTTGTTCATATGCAAATATTTTAGATTGGGTAAGTTTGCAAATGTACCAGACTGAATATGAGTTATTTGGTTGAAACACAGATTCAACTCTTGAAGCTTGGGTGTCTTTGAAAATGTACCAGGTTTAATTTCATTTATCTGGTTATAGGCTAATTCCACGTGGACAAGCTCAGGTAGCTTTGAAAATGAATCGCGTTGAATGTTAGATATCTTGTTTTTGGACAGGGCCAACCAACTAAGGTGGCGTAGATTTGAAAATGTACCATGTTTAATACAAGTTATCTCGTTCTGTTGTAGGAACAAAATGAAAAGCCGAGGTAAATTTAAAAATGAATCACGTTGAATGTTTGCTATTTCATTTTTATGCAGGTACATAAATTTAAGCTGTGGCAGATTTGAAGATGCAACATGTTTGATATTAGTTATTGCGTTATTCTTAAGGCTCAAAGTATGCAGCTGGGGAAGATTTGTGAATGCGCCATTCTGTATGACAGTTATTGCGTTATTAGTAAGCCTCAAAGTAGCAAGCTGGGGGAGGTTTGTGAATGTGTCATTCTGAATGATAGTTATTGCGTTATTATTAAGCCTCAAAGTAGCAAGCTGGGGGAGGTTTGTGAATGTGCCTTTCTGAATGACGGTTATATTATTGTCATCTATGTCAATCTCGTTTAATTGCTTGTACCTTGAGAAGTCAGACTGCCTCAAGGACACGATGGCGTTTTTGTTTAAGTTAAGATATTTGATAGTTGAGGGTAGATCTTGTGGAACGCTCCTGAGGCCTCTATCACGACAGTAACTCACACAGAAATAACAGACATATATTTTATGTATACGGTCACACGACGTGGCTGCTTCCCTTCCCTTCATAACCATCAGCAGAAGAACCAGGAGTCTCTTCAGGTTGCTGCAGCTAAACATTTTCTATTTGATGAGAAAAGTCAAGTGTAAGCAATTATAAGCTAATGTTAATCTGAAAGCAGATCTTTTCGTGGGGGTAAGACAGTATCAAATCGGATCCATTACCCCACCTCATCGGTTGGCCAATTTGATACTGACTTGTCCACAACAAAAGATCTGCTTGGAGATCAGAATCACAGCTAATATTTGAGTGCTTATATTCGGTAGGAAACCTTCGCTAATATGGATGCAGGCTGGCCAATTTGATAATGTCTAACCCTCACCAAAAGATATTAGAGATTAGTGATCCTGCGGTCTGGTGTCTGGAACTTTTCAAACAAACAAAAAAGACAACTTATTAGCGTAACCAACCATATTCATGTTTAAAGCGAGTTTTACTGGTTTTCTACTCTGAGGTTGAAATCGTAAATAATATCAAATTTAAACATAGGTCAGCTAACCTGTTTGTAGAAATCTTCCTTTCCAACGGGTTAAGTTTCTTCCTTTAGACGGCTGAAAAAGGCCCAGGTTTTGTCTCGTATGGGAGAATATTTTTAACGTCCTGTTTGAATTAAGGTAAGTATTTTTGCCAGGAGTCCAGGATACGGTCAAGTCAAGTCAAGTCAACTTTATTGCACAACAATTGTCCCAGGTACAATGTATGGGAAGTTCTTCGGAGATGCAACGTATCAAAATACTTTCTACTCAAATATCTATCTAATCTACTCAAATATCTATCTAATGCTAAGATGGGTATCCTTCTACTGTACTTATCAATACTTGTCTAATACTACACTATTTTATAAACATGACATATACAAGGAACATGGCTTATATGATAATGTACGGGAGATTTATAAAACTAACCACAATATAGAAGATAAGGAACTTAATTTTGTGAACTGAAATTTGGATGCTTGATACTGATGAGTTATACGAACCGAGATAGTGTTTGGTTTTTGTATACTTTGTATATATTTATATTGTAATTATACGACTAATTGTAACTGAACTGAAGAATTTGCAAAGACCCCTGACCTACCTCCCCTTAACCTCATGAAAAACGGCTTAGGCCGAAGAGTTGTACTGCTACACAACTGTACTGTACATTTTCAAGGTGAAATAAAGGTTAAAAAAAAGGAGGTACTCACTGAGCCGGTTGGTGTACATGCGAGCAGACGTGCACGAGGTTATGTCTGTTCACCACTGCTTCTTCACCTGCACTGGTAGCTGTAGGTATGAGAGATTTATTTATTGGGCTTTCCAGACTAGTTAACGATGAAGGTACTTCGACACGTTGCACGTCAACGGATGTTGAAGTCCGGGCTTAAGCCCCTTAAAACCCAACCTTTTCTGTCCTTTATTCCTGCTTTTTAGATGTATTCCTTTTTTAGCTACGATGTTGTTGTTGTTACTGCAACATGGTAGCTGCACTACAAACACTACAAAATAAAGCAGGGCGACTGATTCTGAAATGTGATCGCCGTACCAGGGTGAATCAGATTCACGAGGAACTGTCCTGGCAGACCGTGGAGGAGAGACTTAACATCAATAACATCTGCACTTTCAAAAAAATCCTGTCTTCCAAACAACCAGACATACTCTACAATCAACTGTGCCCGGTATCACATCAACACGTCTTGTGACTACATGTTGGAATATTAAGAAAATACTACAAATCTTTCAGCTACAGATGGCTGTTTCGACGCCCACACATTTAATCTGAAGCTTTTTGTAAAGACCATGAAAGGTACGGTATGATTCCTGCCAAGTGCCGACATGGCCTTTCTTGTATTCTTACGGTTTTCGTTGGAGTTTTGGTCAACGTTGCATCTGAAATTTGCCTGTTGCAGACGAGATCTTTTCCGACATAACATTTGGAAACTACAAACGGGATGTTAACCTTATATACGCGAATACGACCTTATATGAGACGTTCTGCCGAAGTGCTATGACCAGTACACATTACGGTTTTCGCGCAGCTGCATGCAGTACGTTCTGTCGACGTGCTTCAGCTCGTGCTATAAAATCTGAAGTGTTTGCAGATTGAGGTAGATGATTGGTCAGTTTCCTGATAACCACGGTCTCTGTTTACATGTCAATTCCTTAATGAATAAATAAAGACGTTTATTGTACAAAAACACCCACTGGGTTAAGTACAAAGGAGTCGCTTCTGCATACAAACAAATATACAGCATTAAGCTAACACTAGCACTATAGTCTACGTATATTCGACTTCTCCTTGTTTCTCTAGGATGGTGAAAATATAAGAGCATGCATACACAGAAGTTCTTTAGAAAAGTGAACTTGTCTGTATTACTTTAGTGTATGAACGTCCGATCTCCGTAATTTATCCAGTGGTAGACTTTGAATTTCCTATGAGCAGACATAAAGCCAACTTCCACACAAAACCTCAGAAGTCTACTTAGGCCACACCGCCTTAATTTCATGGATGAAATCGCCTGAAGTCCCCCAAACTAGTGCGCGCGGGCGAATAAAAAAAAATTCCGGCCAAAAATAAAAATGCAATTTAACCACAGAAATGCAAAGCTGGTATTGTGAATTTGCAGCAGTATATAGAGACGTATACGACAAGCCGGCACATGCTGGCTTTTTGCGGAATTTTTGAATCTGCACTCTACGTATGTACTGAGTTCTTGAGTCTTGGAGCTTCGGCAGCCATAATTGTCTCCGTTTTGTCGCTAACCACCATGGACTACCCAGGCCTAGAGCCAGGACAGAGCCTCTGAGGACGTGGCTCTTTTTTTTTTAGAACAGGCGAAAATCAATGCGCGCGCGGATGTCATCCATAAAATTAAGGCGGTGTGGCCTTATGTCAATATCGTCATTCCTTTACAAGTAGTTGAGTATTAGTCACTTGGAGGGTCTCTTGTTGACGCCCTCCAATGGTCTGAATCGAAGTCCCGCCTTTTTCTTGTTGACGATAGATTGCTGGAAATCCTATCTCTACTTTTAATCAACAACTCGTTTACCTGCTTTTGTGTTTGGGTCTTACTGCTGGTGCCCCACCGAGAGCGGTAACTTAATACGGGGCGACCCAATTCATCTTATGTTGTACCCCCCGTATTTGCATCTGAATGGAACCGTCCGTCCGTCGCTATGGCGACGCAGACGCCGCCGCCATGCCTGTCGCCTGGTGACCGGGCTGTACCAACATACTCTGCTCTACGGGGGTGTTGCTTAATTATTACATCGATCATTTCATAACTAAACCGGAGTGAACACATTCATCCAAAACCGTACAAATGATAGTCAAAGAAATTAGTTATGAAGTTGCATTCTGTCCCTAAATGCCTCTGCAAATTGTATTTTTTATAGCAGGTGGACCAAAACTCTCCCTCATTTGCCATGTTGGTTTGTTCCGTCAGCAGGTGCCGGGTTGCAGGGCTAAACAGGTGGCGGGGTGTGTTTCACTCGGCACTAGTGGTAGGTAATTGACCTGTGTAGCACCTTCGGGTGACCGACTACCGTCGTGGCAACAAACCAAGAAATCCTCTCACCTGTTCCTGTAACGTCTACAAGACGACTTGAAGACGGAGCACAGGTGTGAAGAAAACGCCAAGACAACTGCCAGGACAGGTGTGTTAGCGTCGAGCAGGTAGCAGGTACGTCTTATTATGGATGCAAATTTAGTGGAGGGAGGGTTTGGTGTATGAACATTGGACCCACTGATAGCAGTTGTCACAAACATAACGAATTGTGTTGAGGTTGCTATATGTAGAAGGAAAAGATTCTGATTTTGAAAAAAAAAGACAGTTACAAAAACATAGGGAGTATGATTTTCGTTTGTGTTGAATGAGAAATAAGTGGGGTAGGGGTATACTATTAGCATATCTTCTCACCTAAATTAGCAAAGAGACGTACAAACAAATGGAACACCGCCAGTGTTAGGCTAGCCTTTTACATAAGAAGCCACCAGAAAGCCGAGCAAAAATTATACGTACGCCCACCGTAGCTATTTATTTAGTATTTTGTATTCGGACTCGTTTCTTTACAAGCCTCCCCGCGTGCATTTGTGATGGTGACTCCTAGAAAAACAACGCCAGACAATGTGCCTTTGGTTCGCCAAGCGTTGTTTCAATCTCACCTCTCCGTAAGAAAACGAACAACAGAAGAACAGTTGTGGTGTTGTTATGGCACTTGTCTCCGTACTAGTGGGTCCCTTATGGAAAATGTACGCTCGGCGGTAAGTATTAAGGATATGTTGCCAAGTAACCCAGCCGTTTGCTATAGTTCAGCGCTCTTTGAAAGGGGAAAGGTTGCCAAAGTGCAGATTTAATTTGGCAGATACGATTAACGTATGAGGTATTTTCATCCCTCGTTAAACACACATGTAGAATTCATATAGTAGGTTAGACTTTCGTTCTATACTATGTACTCATGTTGCCCCTTTTTAAAAATCTAACTCTTAAAGATGTGGCGATGGTAGTTGTTACTGGTGTAGCCTCCATAGCATGGCAAAAACTGGGAGCTTATGTGCTATTTTCTGATTGCATATAGACAACATAGCCGGTCTGGTTGAATTACCACCGTTTTTAGAACTGGGCTGATCAGAAAACAGCCGAAGACCACCAGACCCCCAGTTCTATAAGCCTGCTACGAAGGCTATTACTGGTGTGAGCTTTGTTTTGTTTCTAAATCTCAGCTGCTGCTAGTACTAGTGGTATAGCGTGTGAACGAGTCATTCTTGCAGCTCGCTTGTTTCCTCTCAACGCAACCCCGTGAACTTTTATCATGTTCACAACAAACAGTGCTGGCATGAGAACGTGGGTTAGCATACACATTACACGTACGCAAACATTCCCCACCGCACAGCAGAGGCCTTGTGCATGCCCGTAGCAAAATGCCCACGTTTTATAAAAGGTCCAATATTTTTCTGTAAAAGGTAGAATGATTTGTATGACCAACCTTACACTGGTAGTTCTCTCAGTACTGTTGTTTCTGTCTGCTACATTCTGTTGAGTTTTAGTCTGCTTATGTTATATGGTAAGAAAATGATTCCGAATTTTCTACTACTTTCTGTCGTATTTTCCTAATTTTTAGGCATTTATATGTTTGGATATTGGAGTCCAAATTGTTTGCTACTTTTTCATGAATATCATACACTTTTATGTGTTATTGAAGAGAGCCAGAATTGTATACTATATTCTCTTTAGTTTCACTACATATTATTCGTTATGGAAGGGACTGCTGCATGTTGGTTTTGGTGTTAACAGACAAAGATTGTCTGTTGTGTTGTTTACCACAGTTAATTTGTATAATTGATTGGTACAACCTCGGCAGAATGGAACTTGCCCCCCCCCCATGCAGTATAACAACGTATAATTATATAATTGCTATAATTATAGTATCGTTGGTTATAATTGCAGAACGCCGGCGTACCTCTAAGCCACGTGATTCTTATCTTGATCTAAATCTAGTTTGCATTGTGGCAAATGTTTGAAAACTTGTCTCCGGGTTTTGACACATACCAGTATTTGTCAGTCCGAATACATTGTGGCAAATAATTGAATAACTGCATCGGCCTTTTACTACGTAACAGCATTCCATGGTAACAGTATTTATTAGTCTGAATGCACTGTGGCAAATAATTGAATACATATCTTGGATTGTTTGCAAACGATTTTTTTTCATTCAGTCTTTTCAATACAAGCCCGTGTCTGCATAATACATTTGATACCTTTACTAGTTTCTTTCAAGATCAGAAATTGTGCAAAGATAACGATGATATTTCTTTTTCGATTAGTACAACGATTTTTTTTCTTTCACTTATTAAGTTAAAGCTACAGACACAAAGCGTGTCCACTGTGCCATGGCGTTCTTTAGTGCTCTGGTATGTTGTGGTTGGAGGCTATCATTACCCTCATTAATATTTCAAACCCTCTATTTGTTCCTGTCAGTCTCTGTGTCTGCGCTTTTGTGACAATAGTATTGGAAACACTGTCATCTCTATTGCCTCTATTTAGTCTACAAAGGTAAGGCTATACAGGGATCGAAATACTGGGTGCATGTGCTTCTTAGTGTTGCACCCAAACATGTTTGTAGGTATTTTTGTACATATTAAATGTATATTAGTATACAAGATTTTCTTGGCATCCAAGTGTCGGAAAAAATATTCGTTTTTGTACTTGTTCAAAATTTTGAGGCTAGCGCACATTTAAGATTTAAGCTTAGAAAGGGAGCAATAAGGTCTTTAATACTGTATATATACAAAGGTTTTGTTTTATAAGGTGCACCCAAAAAAATTTGTGCACCTAATTTTTTTCAAGTTTGGGTGCACCAGTGCGCCTATTCCTAAAATGAAGTTTGAGCCCTGTTATATTTCGGGTGGTGTAAATGCCAGCACACAGTGAACACAGACAAAGTGTTGTGAAAACCAACGCCAGGCATTGTGTTTTCTGTTCTGCCAGAATGTATAAACACGCGAGGCACAGGGGTTGTTTAAGGACAAAATTCAACCTTCTATCATTCCTCTGAAGCGATTTGAAATACCTGGTCCCTAGAATTTCAACTAAGACCGCCTGTTTAGTGCCTAAGGATCATATGATTTCATAGCCTTGGGGGCTAGAGGGGGGGGGTGGTGGCTTACACTTGAGTTCACAGAGTATAAAGATTTAAGTTTACAACTGCAATGAAAAGTCTTTATTGTACAAAGAGAGACCCTTGAGTCGTCGCTATGTAAGACAGGCTTTCATCTGAAGGCTTTGCTTGAGCTAAGGAAGAAATATTGGTAATTAAAACATCAGCTTTGAGGAGGTAATACTCGCTGTGCTACTCAACACAATGGGCCATTGGCAGAATAAATTGTGCTGTTTTATTGGCAAAGGCCCAGCAGACTGTCAGTTATAGTCACTAGGCGCATAGGTACGCAGAAGTAGATAAACAAAATAAATCTTCTGAGCTACGATAGAAATTCTCCCTCCCAGCAACTAATTAGAGATAAAATGTTGCAAAGCAAAGAGTTAACAGATGGCAACAGTAGGTAGCATAGAGTTTTTTTTTTTTTTTTTTTACGGTATCGCTCAATGCAAGGCCAATTAGATTTGGCCACTTCTAGGCATAGAGCTAGAGGTACTTAGGGGAGTATATTGTAGCTATGTCATGAGATGGCGGTGGACCTTTGTTTTGAAGCTTTGTAGATTGTAATCGGACGGAAAGCAGCTGTTTGGAAGAGAGTTCCATAATTTTGCAGTCCGGGGAAAGAAGCTGTTGCTGTAATATGACTTGGAGACAGGTATGTTAACGGTGTATTGATGAGAACTGGAAGAGAACCTAGTGGCACGCTGAAAGGTTCTGAGTGGAGGAACAAGAAGTGCAAGTTCTCCTGAACATCGACCGTGAAAGTATCTGTAGGAGAGGGATAGAGATGCGACATTGCGTCTGTGTGAGAGGGAATCCAGTTATCTGAAGTATCAAGAAAACAAACAATAGTGTTACTTTTTCTTGTGTACAACAAGTGACATAATAGAATACAGTGTTTAGATTTTCTATCAGTTTTCTACCGCTGACTCATGTTTTGTCCTGTGTCTTTTTTATCGTTTTTTTAACTGAACAAAAGAAATCTTTATTGATAGAATGGGGCTATAGATATATATGTTGAACCCCTGTGTCATCATAGAACACCCTTTGGCCGAAGGATTTTGTGTGCCCTTTGTTCAGTCAATAAATGATAAAATCCAGTCTGACTCAGCCTTGGTGACGAACATAATTAAATAATAGAATTGAACAACACATTTGGCATAAACGGAATCGTGATAGAAAGTTCCTGACACGTTATGACGTCATAATCAAACGGTAGATTTTAGCAAAGATTTGTACAATGCAAATCTGCAAACCTTTCAGTTGTCATATTGACTCCTCATTCGAGATTATCTCTCCTTCATGGCAGTTTGCTTGCCTAGCTTTGAGATAATTTTTGGTAGCTTGGCCAAACACAGACTCAACAGTCAGTATTTACTCCAAGTCATATAGCACAGGTGCCTTAGAAGTTTAAACACGGAGGATTCCTACACAGTTCATTCTTTCGTGGATCGTGTCGCTACGATGTACAAATCACGTAGGTTTGCTGTCCGATATTTGTTCTGCTATTTACTGTTTGCACCCTGCATCCACCCCCCTACAGCGCAGGTAAATAGACCTGTCCATACCTGCTGAGTTATGTTTACTGAACTAACCGCTTCGTTATCGATGCGTTAACTCATCAACAAACATTGGTTCGATGTGCTTTGCGGGGAGAGTGGTTGATAGGTTGGATATTGAGCGTCTTCTAAGCAATTTAGTTTCATTCGTGAAAACACTCCTCGCGTCATCCCAGATGTGGTCACAATCAAACGATAAATTTGAAGCAGTGAATATCTTTGTTGTTGTATCCAGAGCCGTACTTTCTTCAGAACCACGCTCAGACACGGTTCTGGATAGTCCACGTGTATCCAGAACCGTGCTGCGGGGCAAATCTATATTCCTGGACACGCGGAGACTATCCAGAACTGTGCCTGATCCTAACCTTAACCCATTCTAGACAAGGATGGTTCTGGATATATTATTTGCCATTTGCCTGATCAGGTTGATATAAGGAACTATAATATACCAAATATAAGGAACTTTTCCCCATTATCCTGTCAATTTTGATTAAAAAATTTTTTTTTTGTCAGCTCTTGCCTAGTCTGGTTGTTGGCAACTCAAGCACAGATATCTGACACACACAGCCCAGCATATGTTATCCGTCAGTTTGGCCAATTTCTACTCTTAAAAGCCGCCCCTTAAGCCTGGTAGAGGATAGAATTCTGTCAGTTTGCACCTACTCTGGTTGTTAGCAGCTCAATATCTGTCACACCCAGCCCGGCATAGTAACCATTCCGGACCATTGGTGCTGAATGTGCGGCTAACGTTACGGTCACGCCGCGTCACGATAGATCGGGTTCTAACATACAAGCCAGAGGAACCAGAACCACCTGTAAGCTGAAACCTGGGACTGAATCAGGCCCGTAGCCAGAGGTTTGAATGGGGGGAGGGGTCTTCCCACTGCTTGAGGGGACCAGCGAGTTCCATAGGCGCTAGACGAGCGCCGATGGCGCGAGGTTTCTAGACACCTTAACTCATTCAGCCATAGAACTAGAACTAGATAGGTACGGTTAGCGTTCTGGATACGTTAAGGACCGTTAAGGTCCCTGTGTGGTACTCTGATCGTTCAGCTTCCTCTCACTTGAATGTTGAACTCAATCTATCGTAACGTAGCGTAACCATGACCGGACATTCAGACCCAACAGCCTGAAGCCGTTACTATGTGACTGCGTAAGTCACCTCAGTACACAAACCCTCTACAATTGAGTTATCTGAGTCAAACACGCCGCCAAAACAGAACGGTTTGACTGTAACTAATGTTAGAAATACTATTACTTCACAACCAGTATTTGCGGCTCTATCTGTCTTTTTGTTCTAGCTAGTAAACACCAAATTTCAAGCTATATAGACTACGCAATATACAAAGCAGTATGATAGCTTCTGCGAGTATTACAGTTAAGCACAAGACCGACGCACAACTTTCGAATCCATCAACTTGACGTTTTCACCCGTCAGCATTTCTCTCAAATCCCACCGTTTTTCTGTGTGCCAAATGAGTAAAAATTGTAATCCTGTCCACAGGCGGGTCTTAACTCCCCAATTTATGGTGCCACGGAAGGAAAACCTTGAACCTGGAGCTATGTTTTCTCAGTCTGCCAAGTGTGCGTTATTATGGGCTAGACAAAATCTTACGGATGTTCACGTCGTTGGCTCTCTGTGGCGAATGGATACTGTCTGGCCAATTTGATACTGTCTTTTGCCACCCTAGGATTTGAGGCCCACGCCAACTTTCATGTCAGATAGCATATGAACGGCTTGCGCTAGCCCCATCAAATTTGGTTATTATTCCTGAAATGTATCTGGAACAATTTCATATTAATCAAATTCGATGGCCGTAAGATAAGTGGTTGGTGAATTAAAGGTTAAACTCAATACATTTATTTTTCCAGATGAGCGCTTTCTAGACGTTTTGCTGCTATTAGAGTGACAGACTTGTAAGACGCCCGAAGATGCCGTGGCCACCGACAGCCATGGAGTCTCCTCCCAAGTACCACACCAACCGGAAGGAAAGGGTCACGACCCGGAAGGTGTTACACGGCATCCTCACCAGGACAGGTAAGGGGGAGGGAGGCGATTCCCTTACAACATAATAGACAGCCGTGCGGATAGAATCTTCCTCCTTTCTCATACCTTCCCATATGCAGAATTAGCTATGCCTTTACTTTACTCGACTTCACCCTCACCAGGAAAGGTAAGGGTGGAGGGGGGTTGTTTTTATTCTATCATGCTGTCCTTGATTAGCCTGGGTGTCATCCGATTTGTAACGGTAACCCCGAAAAAATCGACATTTTTTCCGCGTATTGTCATCATCGTCTTCATATTGCGTATGGTAGTTAATTACAAATCCGCCAGGTGGCGCAACTGGTAGGAGCTCAGTTGCAGGAAGCCATAGACTCTACCAAAGGACATTATGTCAATTACTAGTATCTGTAATGTTTTTGGCGACGCCTCAGGGGGGAGCCTAATGGTACATGTTTTTTTTTGTACTGACATCTTCTATGGTTGCAGCCCGACGAAGATACCAGTTCAAGAAAGAAAGGCCGATAAAAAAGCCTAAAACACACACACACACACACACACACACACACACACACACACACACACACACACACACACACATACACACACAAACACAAACACACACACACACAGACACGCACAAAGCCAAAGCCCAAACCTCTGCTTGGAGAGTATGATGTCTAACCTTCATCGACGCTGCCGTTATCTCACAGGTACGGCAGCCGTGCGACAGTTTCTCCTGCGGAACCTCCCTCCCGCTCCGTCCGGTTCCCTGGAGCTGCCCGACGTCCTGCTCAGCAAGAAGCCCCTCCTCTCCCGCCTACTGCACGGCACGGCCGGACAGCCCAAGGCGCTCAGGCCCTACCAGTACAAGATGCTGTTCCCGGCCATGGGAGAGCCCGACATAGGTAAGATAGAAATCAAGTCTCAGTTTTATAGCAGCTAGGCCGCTTAGCCGCCGCTATATACGAAGAGACATGGGAGCTATAGGTTTGCTGCACGGTACGGCAGGACAGCCCAAGGCGCTCAGGCCCTACCAGTACAAGATGCTGTTCCCGGCCATGGGCGAGCCTGACATAGGTAACATGCAAAACTTCTGCCATATGTCGATTAGATAAATAAAATTGAAATTAAATTAGCATTGTGACCAAATTTATTTTAGATGCCGAGTCTCTTTCGTCCTCTGTTTGCGGAGAATAGGAAAAGAGAATCGGCAGATAAAATACGTTTGGTCACCAGGTTTGAAAACAGTAGCCTAAGTATAGATGTCTTAGCTAGCCCTTTGGTTTTAAGACAAAAAGTAGATGGAGGTGTAAGAGTTTGTCAGTCTTGACAGGGCAGCAACAGGAATTTGTCTCAAATTAATATGTACAGTAAGTTAAACGTTAAAAAGGTAAGGCTCTTGTGCAGTTTATTTTTACAACCGTCGCCATCTTGTTCTGCCTCTTAGGATTGTGGGACATCCCTACGATGTACGCGCTGATCCGCTACATGTGTGACGTCATGCCGCCCCACTGGCTGGGCTGGGAGCGCTTTCCGGACAAGCACGACACGCAGCCGGTCCACGACGTCATCCGGATCCGGTTCTTGCACCGCGCCATGTTCTCGGAGACGCACGGCCGGATTCCGGAGGAGAAGCTGAACTCGTACTGGTCGTGTCTCAAGTCCGTGCTGGAGAGACTCGCCAACTACTACGGCAAGAGCTTCTCGGACGAGGTTGGTTTGTTTGTTTTTTCTGTATTCAGAAAACAGTGTATTTCTTTCATTCATTTTAAGATTTACTAGCCTCTGCCAGGCTTCGGGAGGTGGCTCGAAAGAGAAGAAATTAGCCAAATAGCATGCCATGGGAGTTTGGTCTGCTGGAGAGAACAGTTTGCCGATCTCGAACTGTTCTCTCCAGCCGATCAAACTCCGGGCATGTTATCTCTCTATTTGGCTAATTTCTTCTCTTTCGAGCCACCTCCCGAAGCCTGGCAGAGGCTAAAGATTTACTACATTTGTGGAATTATTAACATTTCAGGCTACCTTATCATTGAGTTTTTAAGATGTAAAACCTTAGACTAGACAGTAAGGTTTGATCCACTTGCACCTTTTCGTGTGGTGGTTCTAAAACGTATTCTAGGTGTGGCTCTCCTCAAACATGGGACCTAGCTGTCTCCAACCGAAGATAGGTACTCATTTTCACCTTAGTCAAGTGTGGCGATAAGTGTATTTCCCAATGACACAACAATGGATTTGAACCCAGAACCCTTAAGATTCTGAGCTTAACAACCCTAACCACAAGAATTCCCTTCCACCTGTTCTCCAGGTTCTGTTTGGGATCCAGAGCCTGAGCCGCCCGACCAGCACCGTGGTCAGCAGTACCCGGTCCTCGGTACCCTTCGCGCCACGGAGGCTGCAGTCCCGACCACAGTCGGCAGGGCCGCAGGCGAGAACACAAGGTACGTACAGATGTACTTTCATATTAGTTAGCCTCTACCAGGCTTCGGGAGGCGGTTGGAGATAGTAGAACGGGAGCGGAACTGTTCTCTCCAACAGACCAACTCCCCTGGCAAGCTATCTCTCTATTTGGCCGATTTCTACTCTTTTCAGTCGCCTCCCGAAGCCTGGTAGAGGCTACATATTAGTCTAACTACTACATATTAGACTAACTACATATTAGACTAACTACGCCGGCTATATATATAGGGAGAATATTTTCCAGAGGAGTTTGGCCGCCTTTGTAGGGAAAGAAACAACCTTCAGCGGACAGACTCGCCTGGGCATTTTTACTCTCGTTTCTGCCAAATGCTACGATTCGTATTCCCGTAGGAAGGCCTTGTGGAGGCTACTATCATATAGCATTTGTTTCTAAGTACAATGCACTCCATTTAATTTATTTAAACATACCATGTAATATGTACAATGTTTAATATCATTGTTTACAGCTTAGGTTACCGCAGCATCACACAATTTATGGTGGCGCATTTTGTAGACGTATGCGCCTTTAGCTGAAAGGAAATGACGTCACGTAGAATGCGGTCGCTATGGCGACACAGCAAACTACTTGAAGTGCACCAGGTGTTACGCGTAATAGCGAGGTCAGGCTGAGCAGCGCAGAATACATAACGGTAGCCGTTGTGTTGCTACCTAAACCACGGGGCTATACCTCCATACCTGAACGTTAGCTCAACAAGGGATCCATACGTTATAATACTGACTCAGCTGTGTACGTGTTCTTGTGTACTTGTGGATTTTAAGGAGTCTGTTCTATACCACACACAGGTACGTGTTACTGGGTTGAGTATAACGCAGACTACATTACGGTTGTGTTGTTGTTACCTAAACGTTAGCTGAACAAGTGTGTTTGTGTACTTTTGGATGTTGACGAGTCTGTTTTGTGTCCTACACAGGTACAGCCATGGCTAGCGTGATAGGCACCACCGATCTGCAGACCGCTGGGACGTTAGACCCACATCAACAGTGAGTATTTCACGCATTCATTTAACAATAAACACACAGACAGTCCTCAGTTGTTGACTTCTTAAGTCATGAGACTAGCCTATCCCGACGTAGAGGTGTATCACTGGCCAACCTAGCCTTATAGTGCCTTTCTGGAACTGCCTACAGACGGTCAAAGTGAGCTACTAGTACTAGTATGCGAGTGAATACAAACTTCGTAAAACTCCCCCGTGTCCTCTAGTTGAATCGAGAAGTTAAAAACTCAACAACTGCCACATATCTTTAAATGTGGAGGTTTAAAGTACTTGTTATGGAAAGGGGGTAGCTATATAGTCTAATTTATAGTCTATACGCGAGTGTTGTGTGTACATCTCACGAATATATGGCCTGGTGTTTTGGACGCCGTTATAGTCGGTCGAGTGTGGCGAGCTCCCGCCGCCATGTTTGTACAGTAGTGCCTGAGCACTTTGGTCACGCCCAGTGTAATGGGGGTTCGGTTGGAGACGGGATTGGTAGGAACAGAAGGGTGGCTTAAAAGCTTCATGCGTTCCAAAATACTAGTATACCTGGCATGGAATGAATTTTTTTTTATGATAAGGGCTGGTCACATGCATTGTACGATTGCAAAACTGGGCATATATTTAGATAGCCATGCATGTATCCCGCAAAAATAAATCTGTCTTGTTTGTTTGTTGTAATAATTATAATGTAAAATGCTGTCTTAGATCCTTTGATGTCTGCTTTCTTGTTCCTAAAGCTATATAGTTACTAAAGTTTATGATAAGGGAGGCGATTCATTCATCACATCATTGCATGCTTGAAAATGGAAGATAATCATTTATTTCTTGTACGATCTGCACTTTCTGTCTGATAATAAGAGCCTCTACCAGGCTTTAGAATCGGACGAAAAGAGTAGAAATATAATTGGCTAAATAGACAACATGCCAAAGTTAACCTTTTTTTTTATAACTTTCTCATTTTTATCGGAGCAACTTCGCTGGCATGTCGTCTGTATATTTGGCCAATTCCGTCTCTTTCCAACCACTTCCGAAGCCTAGTAGAGGCCATGACAATTTCTGTAACCCAATCCTCGGGCTCGTGCAATGTTCTCTCGGCTCACCCCCCTCTCACTCCAGCTCTGTCCCCTCCCCACTCACAGCTCGTCGTTCCTGGATCTCGTCCGTCAGGGAGACACCGACTTCTCCTCTGGACAGCTGGACGGCGCCGAGAACAACTTCGCCTCGGCCTTACGCGTGGTCCACCGCCGCGACGACGCCGTCTCCCTCACCCAGCAGGCCGCCTGCCTCGAGAAGCTGGGTCTGGTTCACCTTCAGCGCGCGAGGGGCACGCGACATCCAAGAGACTACAAGACCGCCGTGGCCCTATACAACGCGGCCGTGGCGCGAGGCAAGGAACTACCCGCTCGTGAGCTCATGAACAAGCTCATCCACTGCCTAGACATGGCCCTGAAGGCCGTAGCTGTAGAGATGGCCGGGGCCAGGACGCAAGGTGCAATCGACAAGCTCACATACTCTGCGGACCTACCCCACAAACGGACGGTACAGAGTCTACGGAATTACGCCATGGAGAGGATGCAGTACCTAGAGAGTAGATACACCTACACGGTGTCCGCCGACCAGGACCCCTTCAGGTCGCTCGCGGAAAAACAGCGAGGGGAGACCGTACGGATTTTATACAGAAAGATGTCGGACACGATTAAGAGAGTTGTGTCCGCGATGGTGCAGGAGTGCGTGACCATACAGGGGAAGCCGCCCTGCCCCTTCGCAATAGTCGCCTTCGGATCCTTAGCACGCGAGGAGGCGACACCCTACACGGACCTAAACCTTGCCGTGCTGCTACCCGAGAGTGCGGAGGCTGACTCTGACCATCTCAGCTACTTCGGCAAACTCGTCATCCTCTTAGACCTCAAGATGTTAAACCTAGGAGAAACTGTCTTATCTAGTATCGGAATTAAGTCCTTGAACGACGCGGGTTCGTCGAACCCGCTCGACGACTGGTTTTTGGACACTGTGACGAAACGCGGGTTCTGTTTGGGTCGGTGGGAGCTGTCAGGACGCGAGCCCGTCCCCATTACCACGCCTACACGCCTCGCGCAGTTCCAGATCAAGGAGAGCCGCTGCCAGCCCAGCGATTGGACAAAAGTCACGCTCGTCGAGGGAGAGCAGGCATTGGTCGACGCGTATGAGGGCAGCCTGAACTCTCACCTCAGTCGCTATAGCAACTTCGGTAACAAGATACCGGTGCTGGCCAATGACAAGGCGTGCGAGGAGATCCTCGAACTCTCGCGGCGTTTCGGCTCTCCCGTGATCGACACGGACAACGAGACGATGATCCACGACGTGGCGCGTGAGCTGCAGTTTCTGCCCAGCCGCATGGTGGCGGTTCTCGGCCTGTACTACGGCGTGACGTATAAGAACCCGTGGGCCATCGTGGACGAACTGGGCAGGCGCGGAGTGCTGAGGCCAAACGACGTCCATCATCTCAAGGTAAGGATGTTTAGCCCTTAGATTAGTCTCCAAGCAGATTTTCAGGGGCAAGGGGAGTCTACATTGGCCTCATGTAACCATTGGTCACCTGTAACCATTAGCCGCTTGGGTAGCGTATTGGACTGCTTGGCCAATGTGATACCGTCTTGCCAAGTTTGTATTGTGTATTGCACCTACCCAAAGATCTGCTTGGAGATTAATCTTAGATGTATATGCCCTTCTGTAGGTCAGTATTGGCCATGGTAAAATCCTAGTTGACATCAACCCTACAGCTGTGTTATGACTAAACAGTCCTATATGATAATGATAGTCTCTACCCCATAGACGATGTATTAAACCTTGTGCGTAGGTTAATTCTTTTGTATCCCCTTGTTTGTTTGTTATGTATCCCCTTGTTTGTTTGTTATGTATGGACCTTACGAAAGTCGAAATATTTTTGTCTGTAAGTAAAGGTTCCACTTACTTGTATGTTTCTCCAGGTGGCTGCCAGCATAGGAGCGGAGGTGCGCCTGCGCACACAGTTCGCTGCGGGGGGTAAGAAGGACGCGGTGAGATCTCTGTCCCAGGTTTGCGGCAGGGAGCTGATCTTCAGGTTCTACTTCACCATCTCACCGCTACAGGTGAGGAAGATATATCTACTTTTGACCTTAAAAGATATTGTGTTTGCTTCCTTTTCTTCATCTTTCCTCCTTCTACATCTACATAAGTGCTGGGCAAGGCCATTTATGGCGCATCACGTCTTTCTTCTTCTTCCTCCTCTTCTTCTTTTTCCTCTTCCTCATCTCCTCTTTCTTCTTCTTCAAAAACATAAGGTCATAGTCACACTGTCAAACTTATGAAACGTATGACTTGTTGCTGATTTCTTAATCTCTGGGTCACGTGACTGTTTCCGAAGTAACTGAAGAAAGATGGTGGATGCCGTCCGAAAGCCTCTACGCTTTACATAACTTAAGCCGTATCAGTGTAAATTCTTCCTCTTAGTATTTTTTCCTTGTTTTTTGCCCCCATAGGACATGCTGCATAAGTTTGCCCAGGACATAGTGAGCCGGAGGAGGAGCGGGCCCCGGCAGCTGAACCTCTCACGGACAATATATTTTAAGGTTAAAAATAAACACAGGTTATGTTTATTTTCAACCTTATGAGATATTGTCTTTGTTTTCTTCTACTTCTCTCCTCCTTCTACATCTACAGGAATACTGAGCAAGGCCCTCAATGGGGCATCACGTCTTTTTTCTTCTTCTGGGTCAGGTGACTGCCATCGTCAGTAGCCGAAGAAAGATGGTGGATGTCGTCTGAAAGCCTCTACGCTTTACATAACTTACGTCGTAAATATCAGTGCAAATCCTTCCTCTTAGTATTTCTCCTGTTCTCCTCCCCAGGACATGCTGCACAAGTTTGCCCAGGACATGGTGAGCCGCAGGCGGAGCGGGCCCCGGCAGCTCAACCTATCACGGACGGTGCTCATAGACGACAGTCTGCGCGTGCGCGGAAACATCCACCTGAAGCTTCTGGAGTATGGAGCCGCGGAACAGGTAATGATGGGGAAAATGAGACTCTTTGTTATGAAAGCAAGTTTAATCTGTGATTTCCAAGTCAACAAATTGGACCCAAATTTTCGACTGTACGACTCCAGTCTTTGTCCAGAAATGAGCAATCCTGGGTTGCATAAAGACTGTGGCGCCACCCGTCTTTGGCGGTAGGTGGTTGCAATGCTGAGGGTGTCACAAATGTTTTGCATCCTATGCAATCCATCCACTGTTAACAGTTGTTTTTGATATGATTCAAACAAAAATTGCGAACAGAACAGTTCTAAATTTGTCTATGCATATTTTTCTGTTTACATTCGTTCTTAGACATCATGATCCACGAGAACGTGACAGTTGCATGAGCATATGATTCATGCAAACCTCACCTAACACAGTCCTAAATCCATGTATTTTTTTCCTGTTCACAGTCGTTTTCAGACATGATTCACGAGAACGTGACCGACGCTGGAGCGATGGTGGACTATGGCCGCACTCTACTCGGCGTCGGTAACTACACCAGCGCAGTGTCCTTCTTCGACCGCGCGCTGAGCATGATGGAACTGATGTACGGGGAGGGCCTCATCACTCCCATCGCCATCCGGGCCTTGTATTACTCTGCCGTGGCCGCGTCGGACCTGGGGGACTACGCCGTGGCTATGGCTTACCTGGACAAGGCTCTCAAGATTGCAGGTAAGGCTGAAATTAGGACTGATTATGTGGTAGATGTTGTACACGTATGATTATATATAAAAAGACAAAAGATTATGGAATAACATTTTTTTTTAATTGGTCCACAAGTTTCACATCAACGGTACAGATACTTAGTTACTAGTACTTAGCTTTTTGATCCCTTGTGAAACAATATATAGGGTCATGCCTTTTTTTTCTTTCTGGGTCTGTCTTTCGATCGCAAGCCTATGATTGCAGTTTTTCTCCAAGTGGGTTTGGGTATACCTCTTTTCCTTTTCCAAAGAGGTGTCCAATTTAAGGCTATCTTAGGTATTCTTAAGCCATCCTTCTTTGTAGTATCTAATGACAAAAAATTTTCGTTTTCTTCAGGAAAATTGTACGGCAAAGACGCCCCACACGTCGAAGTCGCCACGATCCGCCAGCGCCTGGGCGAAGCACAGGGCAAGACGGGAGACCACTTCGCCGCCATGTCTCAGTTCCAGACCTCCTTAGAAATACGCAAATACCTGCACAGGAACGAAGGCAACCACCCTGCCATCTCAAAACTCATCATCGCTTTGGGTGAGACTTTGACGAACTGTCAGCAGCACGAGAAGGCCGCAGCGTGCTACGAAGAAGCTCTGCGTATGCGGAGAACCTTGCACGGGGCACCCGAGAGCCATCCTTCAGTCGCCAGCGCGCTCAACAACCTCGGAGCGTCCCTACAGTCTTCGGGTGAGAGCATACGGGCGATAGAATGCCACGAAGAAGCGCTAAGAATCTATAGACAGCTGTACGGAGAAAGGTGCGACCATAGAGCGATAGCGGACACGCTGACACACCTTGGAGTAGCTCTGTTCGGTGACCAGCAGAGCGTCAAGGCGGTGCAAACGCACACGGAAGCTCTGGAGATGAAGAGGAGGATATTCGGTGAGGAGGCTCAACAGGAGAGCATCGCGGAAACTCTCGGGCATCTCGCGAGAACTTACAAGGCGATGGGCGAGGAGGGAAAGGCGAGCGAGTACACGGCACAGGAGTACACTATGACGCGGGCTGTGTACGGAAAAGCGCACGGTATCGGTAGTAACACGTTCATGACAGACGACAGAAGTAGTACTGTCTCTCCGGACCTGGAGTTCGATAGATAGTTGATAGGGGGCGCTGTGAATACACAGATGACAATAGCATGTCGCGGGCAGTGTACGGGAAGGCTCACGGTAGTAACACATTCATGACTGACGACAGGAGCAGTACTGTCTCTCCGGACCTGGAGTTCGACAGATTAGAGATAGGGGGCGCTGTGATACTACTATTAGAGTCATGCATAAGACTATCTACATGATGATGCCTAGGTAATAGTAATAATAATAATAATACTGAATCACGAAAACATCAACACGCGAACTCTGCGAGGAAGTAAGTGCTTTATTGATTGATTGCACGAATGTCGTTACATAAGAGACCTGAACTAGAAACCTGTAATGACTAAGGAGATAACGGATACCTTAATTACATGTACACTGTAAGTGCCATGTTGTAGCATTTTAGATCAATAGGACCAAAGTATACAAATGCTGAATTAATGTTTCGGCCAAATTGATGTGTGATTTTTAAATTCTAGGATGCCACTGGGATAACTACTCTGCTTTTAACTGCATTTGCTGCTGAGTAACGTTCATCATTACAAATTGGAGTTTCTTAAGCTTGTTGTACTAAGTACTAAGTAAGTTGTACTAATCTTTTTTCGGTGCAATGGATTTGCCTTTATGGTACTGCAATTGGATTTGGTGCCACGGAATAACCAAAGTTGTATGAATGAGGAATATTTGAACATGTCAACATTAAAACATTTGAAACACACATTTTGTGTCAAGTGCCTTATTGTTGTGAATCTAAGCAAGTGAATTAGCATATGATAATCAGAAAAAGAAGTTCAATGTTACTACAAGGAAATTGCAGTATCTCTAGGTATGTCAGTTTGTTGAAAAACAATAGTCAGGAAGCTTAAGCTTTCCACAAGGGACGAAGCCTTTTTGGGAGGTTTCATGAGTAATGACGTCACATCAGCCACGGATGCAGGAGAATCCCATTCGACCGTCCTCGATGCAGATCAAACCGGAGCCGCAAGAGGTCGCTGTGCAGAAGCCGGAACGGGCAGACTTCACCCCAGTCGGCACTGAAGTAAAAGAGAAATAAAACTTAATCGTCTATCCAAACGTTGTAGAATTAAGATAATTAAAATTAAGTACCAATAGCACGGCAGAGTTTGCGAGACCGGTATACCACACACACACACACACACACACACAGACACACACACACACACACGACACACACAGACACACACACACACATACACACGTGTGTGCGTGTGTGTGTGTTTGTGTTTGAGCAAGGATAAACAGAAGATTGGTTTGTAAGGCTAGATAATGAGAATGTAAACATTATGCGTATGCTTTTAAAATGTTACCATTCTAGTCTTAATGAGCATTGGAAACTGTCTCCTACCTGCACAGTGGATCCCGCCGGCCTGGGTTGAGCAGATCCAGTCAAACGGACATGGATTGGGGTTGCACAGGTCCGCTACAAGGGAGAAAGTCATAAAAGTATCACAATGAACTTTTGCGTGATACATGATTATTGGATGGATCAGAACAACGAGGATGATGCACACAACCACACTATCCCAGTGCATATTGACCATCACGGAGCATAAATTACGCAAATTCTGACCGAAAATGGTTACTGGAAGGGTCGTAGGCTGGATTTTTAGAGTACCATCCAGAAAAAAAAGACTCATCTTGGGGCTTGTTTCTGCAGTTCTAAATGCCCAAAGTATTAAATTCTGATACAAATGTGCTAATGCGAAGCAGTACTTACCTATCTCGCAAAAAGGCCCACTATACCCTTGAGGACAGATGCAGAAGATGCTGGATTGTCCGAAACAGGAAACGCAGTATCCTCCGTGCTGACACACATTCGGCTGGCATGGTCCAGCGGCTGAAGAAATACACGATTGAACACACTAATTTGTAGCAGTATACTAGTATTTGAATTTAACATACTTCTATCAAACCGAACGACTTAAAGTGCTCAGGACACCAAAATTGATGGTATCGTACAAAAATAAAAGAACATTGTAACAGTACAAAATTTAGATAATAAAAAGTAATTGTCTAAAACTATGGCTATGTCTACAACTATGTGTGAAGGTTTACACTTATGTTTAAACCATAATTGAGTAATATCTACTCACAGGACTGGCAGATGTAGTTGTGTTGCTCCTCGCAGCACTGGTAGGTCCCCTTGTAACCATGGTTACTGTTCAGCAGCACACAGATATCGAGGTCGGCGGAGCCATTAGTGTACATCCACGAAGAACTCGCTGTGAAAAAAAACAGTCATTGGAATTCTATAAAGCCGTGTAGCAAGAATGATGGTAGACATGTATTTTTTTTACTTATTTTATAGTTGCGACACTCTTCGCCATTTTATGCTACATTTTTTCTACCATTTCAAAAAATTGGCATGCCGAAAGAGCTTATGATATTGGAGTTTAGTTTTACGCAAAGTAACGTAAAAATGCGAGAGACTTTACCGGCTATAAATGAATAAAAAGAAAACGCGAAGCGATGATACCGGATAAGGTCGATCCGTCCCCGAGGCCACAGGAAGATAGCGATATCTTGTTGGCGGTCCAAAATGACCCGTCCCGTCCGGGGTCCATGTAGCTCGCCAACAGCTGCTGCTGTGCAGTTTCCTGGATGTCCGCTAGGTGGCCGCTCATGGTGACGCAGGCATTGGAGGCCTCCTGATTGGTCAGGCTGTCGTCTGAGAACCGATAACACTTGTCGGACTGCCAAACTACAGTAAAATGAGGAAAAAAGTAATAATTTGGTATAGCGAAATGACCTCTGTAAAACATGGTTTCTTGATGTATGCTTAAACTTAAGTTGTACGTATATGGTGATTCTTTTGTTTCAAATCCTTTTGATAGCTTATTTTCCGATACACATTATTGTCATTGTCATAACAAAACAGTAACACCAGATTTAAAATAAAGGCTGGTCAGAAAACATTTTGCAGTTGCTCACAATTGTCTTTTATTAAATTTTATTTCCAATCCTTTTGTGCGGTAGCGCAGTTTAGTTTTATGCTTGTTTTGCTTGTAATCCATGAATAGTAGTACATCATTTATGGTAATATGCAATTTAAGAAAAAGACGCATGCATGGTTGAGAAGATAGATGACCTGTTTCACAGTTCCTTCCCGCGAAGTAAAGAGGACAGACACAGGTGTAGCCGGTCCCGTCATCCTGGCAGGTTCCTCCCGACCTACACGGATTGCTGGAACAGTGATCAGCTTCAAAGCAAAGAGAAAAATTGATAAAATATGTTGCAGCGATGTACCAATGATAGGATAGTAGTGACTGTAGGATAATTATGTTTACCGAAGGAAAACATATTGTTTTTGCTCTGTTTCTTCTTCCTCTTGTTCTCCCAACAGTGACCTCTGACTTGGTCAATGACCTGAAGCAGACTGTCTCTTACCATGGTAACTGGTGTTGGGTTACATCATGTTGCAATTATTTCATAGTAGGAGGGATTTAGACTGCTGTCACGGAGCATTCCATATGCGAAGGTAAACATTATGCATTTGCTTTTGCATTCTAGTTCTTTTGAAGCAGATGAAGCAATATTGACAAGTAAAGGATGATTGAAACTGTGCACAAACTCGGTCCTCGTTTTCGTGCAAGGTCTCGTACGTTCTCGCTAGAGCACTTTTCAAAATGGCCAATGTTACTACAGTAAGGTCTATTGCTCTATTGGGAGAGTACATACTTTCCTGAACAACTTATGCAAAGTTGGCTTTTGGCCCTGACTGACCTGGTCCAGGCGTAACTGCGAGAGGCATCGCTGTCGGAAAGTGTACTGTTGGTACGGCAGTTGTAGGTGCCTCTGATGTAGAAGCTGTGTGAATTAAATTTGGTTTGTTTATTTATGTGTTTGGTTGCCTCATTTTAAAAAAAAAACTGTTGTGCATGGGTTTTCAACGTTTTTTTTAAATTTCATTTCATGTTTAAAAAAGACTCATTCAATTCCTTTATCGTCGTTTTTGGCTGCTTCCCGCAATTCCTACAATGTGTTAATTATTGGACAAATATTAGTGCCGTTATTAGGTCGTTATAGCTGAATAATTAGTTTTATGATTGGCACAAACAGCTTGGCTGTATGATGATAAAACGATACACCCCAACCCCTATTTACTATGGACTAAAAGGTAAGCGATCTATAAGCTTCCAAAGTACGCGTACTTACAGGTATGACACGTCGCTGTAAATGTACAGACGTACAGGGTCCAGTCAAAGAGCGTTCCCGGAGCGCAGGAAAGGTGGAAAGGTTGTTGGAGATTTGGATCCCCCGTGCACTGGTAGAACATGGAACAATCATGCGGGTCTGGGTACATGCCGGCCGCCACGGTCGTGCAGTCTACGGGAGAACCTGTTGGCAAAGCAAAGAATAGAAAGGCAGAATAATAAAAGGTGGTTGCTACATAGGGGTAAGGAAATGCTGTTTTGGGTGGTTGTGTAAAGGTGTTTGCTACATTACTACCAGTGCGTGAGTGCTGTTTTTGGTGGCTGTACATGTGCTGTGGAATTTGTTTTTCTGATTTTTGACAAGCAGAATGTCACGAGGCCGATGGTATGAGAATCCGACTAGAAGCCTGCAGGAATTAGAGGTCACCACGAGGCACACCATATGCAACTTATTGTACGATACGATACAACAATACGATAACATAATTACTGCTGCACTTTTCAAAATGACCTCTGTTATTGCAGCCAGTTCTATATTTAGGGAGGGTGCCATCTTCCGTCAGCTATTGGCCCAAACTAACCTGTCGGTCCCTCCGTATCCCCGGCAGTTGTTGCTAGAGGAGTCGCCGATGGAAGGTATACTGTTGGTACGGCAGGTGCTGTATCAAGTATCAATACACGGTTTTCATTAACCCATTCCTAGTTCCTTATGGGTGTATTACCAACAGGGATATAGTTGTGTGGTTGGCACACACAGCTTGGCTGTATGATGATAAAACAATACACCCCAACAAACAGCAAAAAAAAAGGATTCCAACAACCCACTTTGGACTGAAAGGTGATTTTTAAGTTTCCAAAGTAAACATACTTACTGGCATAACATATTGCTGTAACTGTGCAGACGTTAAGGTCCCAGTCAAACTGCGTTCCCTGGGGGCACGGGATGTGTAATGGTTGTGGATGCCCCGTGCACTGGTAGAACATGGTACAGTCCTGCGGGTCTGGGTAAAAGCCGGCCGGCGCGGTCGTGCAGTCTACGGGAGGGCCTGACGTTTGAGCAAAATAGCGATATCATCAACATTTGCATTAAAGACACCATTGACGACAGAAGTATATTCTATCTATTCAGTTTGTACGTGTGCTAGTTGTTGAAGGTACAAACATTTGGAACATACCAAGAAGAAAGGGATTTGCTACTCCAACAGTTGTCACGCCTTCCTCTGTCGGTTTTGGCTTTTCTGTAGTTGACTCCGGTGTTGTTTCTTTTGTTGTTGTCCCTGGCGTAGTGCTTATCATACAGAGATGAATGCAAAGAATGAATAAATGCTGTTTGCGCACAAAAAGGTACTTTGCAACGTCTGTGAGGCGTTATCGTCCAGACTTTCTTCTAGCCTCTAAATCATTGACAATTTATAATTGCTGAATGGCCAAGTAGGTTCTTCAAATGAAATCTTACGGAACGTAGGTTTCTTTGCAGACAGGATAGTCCAAATCCTGACACCAGTCACAGTGGGAGAGAGCCTCGCATGTGGTTTTGTCAG